TCCATGAGGAATAATCTCGAGGGGCCAGATGCATAACTCAAAAACAGAAGGATGGGTACCAAATCAAGTCAACCTGAAGACCTCTAATAAGGCTTTCTATATCAGGTCGGCAATTGTTTATATTGGAGACATCCATCTGGCTTCCGATCCCAAGCATCTTGTCACAGACTCACAGCTCACTCTAAGAAGATATTAATAAATGAAGGCCTTTGTTTCCCTAACTGCAGACACCATATGAGGAGCCTGATGAAAACGCCATTTTTACAAATATTTAGTTATTATTAAAATAAAAATGAATAAATCATGTCAATTGTAATTATTCTTTAGTCGTGGCTTTCAGGGCCTGTATATTGTCCACGTCTGTTTACTGCGCGTGGCACTAGGGTTGTCATTCGTTGTTTAATTGTCCACTAATTGGTTCTTATTGGTTGGTTATTGGGCTCTTTCTAATTTATAGGAGTCGACAATTTTGAAATTAATGACCCGATTGGCTCAACCAGTTGAACCAATTGAGTCGGTCTAACGTTCGGGCTTAGGTGCAGTTGCACAAGAATGGTCATCTTGAATTACCTGGTTGTTTGGGATCAAATAATCAATCCAAACCAAAGTAGTTTGTTTCTTCTACGACACTAAGAGCTAGGGCTATGTTTGGTTTGAAGGAAAAAAGAAAAAAAGGAAAAAGTATGAAAACTTATACAAGGTTCCTAAAGGTTTTCCTACCTTCATTTCTCTAATTTTTTCCTTCAAATACATCATAAGTGAAACAATCACCATTATTGTGACTTGTGAAAATAGAATCAACCAAAGCCTTCTGAATTAATGGTCAAAGGATTACATTATGTAAGGGGGGTGTTTGGAAATTTTATTCATTCAATTCCAAGGTAGCGTTTGGGTGGAGGTGCCTTGAACAACTTGAAAAAGTCAAGGTGGCTGGGTTGAAGGGTGGATTAGGCCATATGAAGTGGGTTGAAAAATATTAACCCCACTTGATTTCAATGACCATCCGTACTTAGTACGCAGCCACTATTCTGATGTACTTTGTTTGGCACCAATAATCTATATGATAAATTTAAGTTAGTTAAACTATTTATTTGATTAAAGCGATTAAATTAGTTTTTATTCGTTAATATTTAGTTTAATATTTTTTCTGATACATGTATTTTAATAAAATTCTATTGGAAAGTTATTATTATTATTATTATATGTATTTTGTCTGACATCAATAATTAGGGGTTTTACTTCATAGCCAAGGAGAGATTGAGGAGGATGCACAAAATGGAGGAATGCATTTCGAATTTATACAACAGAAATAAAAAAATCAATAAAACAATTATAAGCAAGGTTCAAAATATTACAAATATATTGATGCATATGGTATGTTAGGTTTCATTCTTTTGAAACCATCAATACTCAAAATAGAAATGTTTTGAATGTTCAGTTATTCCTAAAATATGGTAATGGTTGTATGATGTATCAAACCTATTTTCAAACAATCAAACAAAAAACCTAAAGAAGGATGCACATCAAGGCTTTAAAATGTGAGATAAAAATTTCTTAAATGGTGCGTCCTTGATACTTTGAATATCCAATGGATATTTAACTGAATTTGAACCACCTACTTTGTAATTGAATTCGAATTCAAATATAAACTGATTTGATTCGAATTCGTTCTGTTTATATGCCTACTTGGAAGAAAGTTGCCTGACACTTAGATGGGAAATTTTGCCCCATTTAATAATTGTTTTTTATGGTTAAAAATGGTCATTTTCTTATTTAATTGGGAAATAAAAGAACATGAGTAAGTGTATTTACTTGGATAAATATTTCCCAGTAAACACTTACCCGAGTATATAGGAGTAAATTGGGCTGTGCCACCCATGGCCTAATACGATAGCACACAGGCTGTGCCAGACACAATATAATTGTGCAAGTCGTGCTGGGCCAGGGCTTTCAGGTCCATGAGACGATATACCGTGAACCGGGCCAAAGCTATTTAATATATTAAAGTGCGGCACCCCACCCTTCACTGAATGCCCTCTTCATGATAGTATGGTTAGTACTTAGTACCAAGAGGCCTTGAACCAATCACAAAGGGGTTGGGCATCTTCAGACCATTAACAATCACACTCAATCCAACTCCGGCTGTGTATATGATGCCATGTTTTGTCGTGCCGGCCTAGCACACCCTGTTTTACAGCTCTACCTGGTAAGTGCATTTAGAAATATTACTTCCATTTTTAGAAAAGCGAACGTGGCCTAAATATTAACTTGATAAATTACAGTTATTTTTTCATTGTAGGAAACATCAGGGTTCGGAAAGCAACATAAACAACACAAATATTACTACAAAAAACCATCTTCTTGCTTGGACAACAGTCCTCGTTGGCCGCCGGTAAGGAGTTTCACCCCCCCTTTTCTTTCTCTCTCTGTTTCGAGGGAGGCTCTCTCTCGAGATTTCTTGAGGTTCTTTCCCTTTCCATTCTGTTTAGTTTCTCTTTTCGCTCTGTTTCGTTGGTTTCCTGTTTAGTTTCTTTTTTCAATCTGTTCTTTGTTCTCTGTTTAGTTTCTCTTTCAGATCTCTCGAAATCTCTCTTTTTCGTTTGTTCTCTTTTTGATCTATTTCGTTTGTTCAAGAGAGGCTCTCTCTTTGTTCTCTGTTCGATCTATTCTCTATTCAATCTATTCGATATGTTCTCTGTTCTCTGTTCGTTTGTTCTCCCCCTGTTCCCTTCTATTCTCCCTTGTTTCCCACCTATTAGTTTCTTCTCATCTTTTTTTTTTTTTTTCGATCTATCTACGGGCATTTTGATTGGGAGTTTCTTCTGTAGAATCCTTTCTGCATTACCCACTAGTGGAAGTTGCCACTTGCATTTGTCGTCTCTAGCGTTTTTGGAAGACAGTTACAGTTCTCTGGTGTCCGAGACGGCAATTATAGTTCTTCGGCAATTCGGATGGCAATTACAGTTTTCCGGCGTTGTAGATGGACGTTTCAGTTTTCCGGCATTTTCTTGGATGGCAGGTCACATTGGACAGTTATCCGGTGTGTTGGATGGTAGTTACAAATGTTGCATCTTTTGTGGATTGGTTCAAAGTGGGTGGAAGTTCTAGATCATGGCTTTTGGCTTTGGAATCCTCCCTTGTCAGTTTTGCTACCAGTTATGGTAGTTTGGAGATGTAGTTATTCACTTATGTTGGTGATTTAAGTCACCTTGCTATGATATTGGCTTTTCCTACATCCATCTCTTTATTTTGTTCTTCTTGATATTTGTATTTAAACTTTAATTGGCCTTGTTGACATTTCTTTGTATCAATCTCTTAAATTAACTTTGTTTTTTAATTTTCTCTTCCTCTAGGCCAGCTCTGAACCCAATATCTTAAAACTCAAATAGTTGGTCTGGCCGACCTGGTTGAACCATTTGGTCCTACCTCCAATAGTCCAAAAATTGACTCGTCTACTCCACGTCAGTTACTAGGGTTGTTCACGGGTTGGGTTGGGTCGGTTTATTGGGGTTTTCCCAACTGACCTGACCTGGTCAGGTTACCTGAGATGGAAACCGAAACTAACTAGGGCTGTTCATGAGAAGGCCCAACCTGACCAAACCGACCAACCCGGACCGACCCAATCTGAGTTGGCTGGACTTTCATAAGCATCGGTCGATTTCGGGTTGTACAAATTCATAAACCGATGGTTCGGGTCAGTTTCGGTTTTCTTGTATGAAAACCGAAACCGACCCGAACCAAACCGACTTAGTTCCTACTTAACTAAGTTGCCTCTATCATAATTCCTAATTACAACCTAACCTAGTCTTCTAGTTCCTATTTAACTAAATTGTCTCTATCCTAGTTTCTATAGTCTTTTACACCAAATAGGCAATTACAATTAGAATTAGGTGTCATTTTTTACTTAGATTAGAACTTAGAAAGTTTCTTGAAATATACAAACCTCAGCATTCTTTCTATAAAATAGTTTGACTTTCTATTTTCTTGATAACTTTTGTCTTCTATTTTAATTCTAACTTTTTAAATATATTTCTAGAAAATATCTTAAAAACTTCAGTTTTCAGTTTTCAGTTTTCAGTTTTCAGAATAGATATTTCCTTCTAGGCTTCTATGTTCTTTTTGTACAGGAGCAAAACCGAAACCGACCCAACCCGACTAGGTTGGTTTTGCTTAACACTGGGTCGGTTTCGGTTTCCATCTCAGGTAACCCGACCAGGTCGAGTCGATTGGGAAAACCCCAGTAAACCGACCCAACCCGACCCGTGAACAGCCCTAAAACCGACCCAGTGTTAAGCAAAACCGACCTGGTCGATTTGAGTCGGGTTGGGTCGGTTTCGGTTTTGCTCCTGTACAAAAAGGACATAGAAGCCTAGAAGGAAATATCTATTCTGAAAACTGAAAAATGAAAATTGAAGTTTTTAAGATATTTTTAGAATTAGAATAGAAGACAAAAGTTATCAAGAAAATAGAAAGTCAATCTGTTTTATAGAAAGAAGGCTGAGGTTTGTATATTTCAAGAAACTTTCTAAGTTCTAATCTAAGTAAAATAGGACACCTAATTCTAATTGTAATTGCCTAATTGGTTGCCTATTTGGTGTAAAAGATTATAGAAACTAGGATAGAGATAACTTAGTTAAATAGGAACTAGAAGACTACGTTAGGTTGTAATTAGGAATTAGGATAGATGCAACTTAGTTAAGTAGGAACTAAATTCGAACCATCGGTTTATGAATTTGTACAACTCAAAATTGACTGAAAACCCGACCAACTCGAATTGGGTCGGTCCGGATTGATCGGTTTAGTCGGATTGGGCCTTCTTATGAACAGCCCTATCGGTTACAGAGAGTCATATTCAACTATTCAACTATGCGTCGTCGAAAAAGATTACGAAGTCAGCATGGACTCTTTTAAGTCTTATCCAGAAGGATAAACAACTCATCCAAACACGACCTTATTTAAATAATCACGGACTAATAAAACAAGATCAAGAATTTCGAAATTTCAATTTCAATTAATGACCAAAGCAAGAAAAAAGCTGTGTAGGATTGTTATACAAAGAGCTGAAAACCAGATTCCCCTGTCTCGCCTCCTCCGCCGTTTCTCGCAAAAGCAAAGAATATTTAACTGAGATTCAAAAGTAAAATTCAGTTCTGATTTTGTATATTCATCGTCTTTCATCTTCCAGAGAGTCCAGTTGTTTGCAGAGATTTTTGTTAAGTCATGGCGTCTCTGAGCTCTAGTCATATCAGTGGCAGAAGCTCGGTTGCTGAGTTCCCGAAGCTTCGGCGATTGGGTTTTCGTGGGAGGAGTAGCCGGGTTGGGTTCAGGGTGTTTGCTTCGGATACGCAGCCGGAGCCGGATCTGAGTGTGACTGTTAATGGTCTGAAGATGCCCAATCCTTTTGTGATTGGTTCAGGGCCTCCTGGTACTAACTATACTGTCATGAAGAGGGCGTTCGATGAAGGGTGGGGTGCCGTGATTGCTAAAACGGTAAGAAATTTTGGATTTTGTTTCGTTCACTTTGAGAGATGATCTGTTTGTGCGTTATTGATTATGAACAGAAAGTCGTGTATGTATAATTGAAATGAGATCCCAATTGTTGTTCAACTCAGTATATTTCTTTCACTCTAGATCTGATCTTCTTTTTTTTTTGTTAATTTTGGACTTATTGTTGAGAAGAAAACGTAGCTAATAAGTATTTGATCTTAGTTTCTCTTCCTGTTTTTCTTTCAAATTGATTTTGATTAATTCCACATTTCCACTATGTGCTTAATTAAACCAGGTAATCTCAAAATTTTATTTTTTGTGTAATTGTCTTATGGTCCAACGTAAAATCTAGAAAAACTCATAAGATCTATCACAGTTATCGATGATTTATATTCAAAAATGGTTGAATCCATACTTAGTCACATGGCATTATCTTAATTTCTTGTTTCTGATTCATGGAAAAAGGATAAATGTAAGAGCAATAGTTGGGATAAATCATGCTGAAGATAAACATGATGATGAGTGTTGAAATAGGAATTGGTACATCCAAGAGTTCAAGACTAAAAGGCATCCATCGGATCCCAGTGTGGGCCAATGCATGTGGGTAGAACTATGGATCTATGTGGTGGCTCCCATGATCGGATCAGTAAAGGGTGGGACTTTTAGCATATTTGGTTTTTATAATGCGGTACTTTTATCATTTCTCTTCTATGAATTGGATATAGTTCCTTAGCTGCATGTTTATCAATCCTTTACATTTCTTTTCCTTTTTTATGTGTCTTTTCTTCATTTTCCACTTAATTGCCTAGATATATCAAATCAAATGCTGCATCCACTGCAAGTGTGATAACATGTGAGTTTTTCTCTCTCTTTTTTTTTTTTGTAATAAATTGGCAGCTAGAATTAAAAAGAGAAAATCCTGAAGACTCTCTTGCCCCCTCTCATATTTGTTTCATGTTTTTTCTTCTTCGAGTTTTTTTTTTTTGAAAATTCAGCCTCCAGGTCGAGGTACAAGATGCAGCTGAAGCCATTGTACTGAATGCTTCCTAAGTTATTTCTTCTTCCTTCTAGTCGATTTTTTTTTTTTTGTGTGTGCAAGCAGTATTACTGACTATGACAATGTTGGAATAACATGACAAGTTAAAGTATAGAAACATGTTCTTGTAAACAGCCACTAACAAGTATTGACGCACCACTTAACTTTAAAGCTTATAGTAAGTGTAAACTGAAGTAGCAGCATGTAATATATCTTTGCTTGTTGTATTGGTTTATAAGAATGCTCCACATTGATATGGATGTAACTAAACATGTCAAAGTAGTAAAGTGTGCTTGGTATTTCCATACACAGGGACATGTAGGAGGTCTAACAATGTCCATATTGTTGACAATCCTATTCTACATGAACATCTCCAATCCTATTCCACTTGATGATCCTAGGAATTTCTGGACCTTTTGTCATCCAAAAGGATACTGATCAGGAAATGGAATTAACTAGGAAAGTGGCTTGATTAGGCTCTGTATGATTAATTACCTGGCCTCTTTCAGCAATTCTCTAAGGATTCACTTTCTCCTTGAAGCCAAACCTCACAGGGTTTTAAGGACATTGTACTGGATAGATCCAAAGTCTTTATATTCTGTATTTTACCACCATGATGTTCTCAATTTATCCAATTGCTGAAGAAACATAGTTCTCCTTGGAATTAATAAAAAAAAAGTGTTGCTTCACTTATGCTCTGTTCAGGAGCTAATTATTTGAATAAAATGATCTTGGATAGGTATCACTGGATGCTGCTAAAGTTATAAATGTAACTCCACGATATGCTAGGCTTCGAGCAGGAGCAAATGGCTCAGTAAAAGGACAAATCATTGGGTGGGAGAATATTGAGCTCATCAGTGACCGACCTCTTGAGATTATGTTGAAAGAGTTCAAGCAACTAAAAGAAGAGTATCCTGATAGGATATTGATTGCTTCAATCATGGAGGAATATAATAAAGCTGCCTGGGAAGAACTTATTGAGCGAGTAGAGGAAACTGGAGTTGTAAGCTGTCATGATCTTTCTTTTTATTCTTCTATATAAATCTAAAATCCAATCAACTAACTTTGTATCGAAAGTTAACAGAAATTAATCATTTCCTTTTATTTTTGAGCAGGATGCCATTGAAATTAATTTCTCATGTCCTCATGGCATGCCAGAGCGTAAAATGGGTGCTGCAGTTGGGCAAGATTGTGTACTGTTGGAAGAGGTATGTGGATGGATAAATGCAAAGGCTACCATTCCTGTGTGGGCAAAGATGACTCCTAACATCACCGACATTACACAGGTTAGTTGGATATTCCTCTATCTCCTTGTGACTTGCTTTTATAATAGTGGTTTTGGGTTTGTCTTCGTCTTTAGTTATGAAATAACTAAAGTAAATGATTATTAGTTATGAAATAAGCATGTCAGAAATTTACAATGCAATTAATCATTTTCAATGTCTCTAATTCAAAACTGAACATGGAACTTTGGTTAAATTTAGTTCATTTATGGAAGATGAAGAGGAAACAATTCCTAATAATACTTGGGTTCAATTTCTTTTTTAGAATATTCCAATTTTAAATTAATATGTGAAGATGATAATACTTGGTTCAATCAAGACTTCAGGAAATGCTGTTGATGGAATATCAATGCTTAGAATCAAAGTTTTAACTGATTTATCCTGCAACCTGCATTGGTGAGTCAAGTGTTTCCATGAAGCTTATGTTCTACATGTCAAGCTTGGACAGAACTTGAAAACAACATCTAGGAAATTCATGATACTATACATGTCAGGAAGATTCTTGTGAAACTTCCACCAATAAAAAACTCATTTGCATTGATATTTTTTTTTATCAGACACATTTGCATTGATATTACTCCACCAACTCTATCCAATTCAAGATTTTAAAGGAGTTCTTTACATTAAATTTTCATTGTACAATTACAAGTACTGGAAATGAATAGTTCCATTCTTTCATTTCTTATGTTGCATTGCTTTCTATATAACCAACTATTTGCAGGAATTTTTTTCTTTTTTTTTTTAAAAAATTGTTTGTGCAGTTGATTCTGCTTAAGTTATTGTTAATAATATTATGTCAAACTTATTGTTGAATCATGATTGTAGCCAGCAAAGGTGGCACTGAAATCAGGCTGCGAAGGAGTATCTGCTATTAACACAATCATGAGTGTTATGGGGATCAACCTTGATACTTTACGTCCTGAACCTTGTGTTGAGGGGTTAGATGTTTTACCTTGATCAACATTAATAATCTTTTGCTTATCCAATCTTTATTTCCACAATTTTAAGTAATTTTTTTCCATTTTTTGTGTACTATTTTACTGAGTTCAGGTACTCCACTCCAGGGGGCTATTCTTCCAAGGCAGTCCATCCTATTGCACTTGGAAAAGTGATGAAAATTGCACAAATGATGAAAGCAGAGTTTAATGATAAAGAATACTCACTTTCTGGTATTGGGGGAGTTGAGACTGGTGGTGATGCTGCTGAGTTCATTCTGCTTGGGTCAAATACTGTTCAGGTTGGACCAAAATAAAAATATTTTCTTGCATTCTTATGAATTAAGTCACAGAGGAATTAATTGTATCATATTTTTTATCCTAGTTTTGTAGCTTCAGTGCATGTCTTTTGTTTGAAATGTATCTTGGCATCTTCTCATAATATTGCAGTCTTTTAACTTGTGATTTGGACTTTGAAATCCTCATAGACCAAGTTTTTTTCCACTAGCTGTTTCAATTTGGTTCAGGAGTGTCAATATCTGGTCCAATTCCTTTTTATGAGATGTTTCAGTAGTATAGCTATGAGAATAACCCAAAATATACCCTAATTTACAACTTTGTTTTTTTTTTTTTTTTTTCTGGTGGGAAAGCTTGCATGATCCAGCCAGAGCAATGCTGAAGACATTACACAAACTTGCACTGATTTTTAGATGCATTATCTAGTTATCTACATCTTACACAAACTTGCACTGATTTTTAGATGCGTTAGCTAGTTATCTACATCCAATTCTCAATTGGCACAACAAAAAAGTAAATTGCGCATTGACGAAAGTGATAGGTTTAGATTCTTGAATCAACACTTATATGGATAGTTCTTAAGTTTTAAAAGATGCAAAAATCCATATTCTAAGCATTTTAGTCAATTAGTTACTTTCATAATCATTTCAAATAGTGGATAATGGTAATACACGAACATGCTAGCTTATGCCAAAGTACGAGCACAGATGGTCTTTCTATGAAACAGGGTGATTCAATAGCCTATCAATCCAATCTGATCTGATAATCCATTATGAGACTGATATATAAGTCTGTTGGGTCAATTCTAACTAATTCACAGACTTGTATATCAGAGCTGTTGTCAGATCTAACTACTTCACATGCATTGCAAATAATAATATGCTTTACTTTTCATACTGATATTATGCCTAGATATAATAATACATTGCATTAGTATCATAAATATGCATAGTGCCCATATGCCTACATAAAAAAATGCTCAGCTTTGGATTGACATACACAATTCATTCTGCCCAAATGCTTAGCTTATCCACCATGTTGACACAATACAAGACTGGATACTGCATGACTGATGGTAGTACAATGGTTTTTTTCTTTCTTGTCAAGAAATAGGTCAGTTTCTTTTTTCTTTCAATTGCATTTGCAAGTTAGGCCCTTGTAATGGTCTGTTAGCCATTCTTTATTAATTTTCGAATTGCCATTTCTGGGGTGTTAAGGTTCTTAGTCCTAGTAGCATCAAGTGTGTTGTAACTCCCACCATTTCTTTGGATATGTTAGTTCGGCTCTTGGGCTACTTGGACATATTTGGGCATTGGTCACATACTTGGAGACTCTACTCTGTATAATCCCTTCTATAGGGCCTACTACCTAGATGGAGTTCTAAGCCATTTTCTTCCAATTTGCGTGAAGTTGTTACCTGTAAATACACTTAGACCAATATTTGTAAGCTTGTAGTCCATCCAAGAGGTTGAAGAGAACAGTCTAATATCTGTTCAAACGCATGGAGTCCGTTACCTTTTCAAAATAAAAGAACAGTCTAATATCTGGACCAATATGTACGGGAGCAATGTATATATCCTGGTTTCAGAGGGAAGGCATTCCTAGAAGTCTTTGATTCTGAAATCTATTTGCTATGCAGTTTGGATCCACCAACTACTTGAGTAGTGCTTTAGTGGATCGTAGGAAACCGAATATTTCCATCCTGTTTCAACTTTTCCAGTCACTTATTTAATTCCATTTTCTGTCTGTTTTCATTGTTCAAAGTGTTAATCGATTTATTATACTTTCTTCTTTTAATGCATGATAGGTTTGCACGGGTGTGATGATGCATGGATATGGCCTCGTGAAGAAACTTTGTGCTGAGTTGAAGGATTTCATGAGAAGGCATAATTTCTCTTCTATAGAAGATTTCAGAGGGTATGAATTCTCATAGTTTACTCAGTTGCCTTATCAACTTATGGTTATATGGAAAGATAGATACTTGCATCGTGTTAGGAGGAAAAGAAGGCACCCTTCTTGCTCCATGTTATTTGTTTCACAATTAGATTATAGAATACACATCTTGTTCTGATGGATGATTATGAACATATGTTATTTGTTAGGAGGAAAAGATAAATACTTGCATCGTGTTAGGAGGAAAAGAAGGCACCCTTCTTGCCTCCATGTTATTTGTTTCACAATTAGATTATAGAATACACATCTTGTTCTGATGGATGATTATGAACATATGATATGTAAGATAGCCTTTTACCTGGAATCCAAAAATAATTAGTGTTTGAAAGAACACAAAAAACCAAATGGCTTGGCCCATAAACCAAGGTGATTTAGATTGAGGATATCTTGATCGGTTCCTGGAGAAGGGGTTTACCCTTTCACATCGTCCCACCTCGCATAGTATTCTGCATGTAAGTATTGATAGATCACAGATTTCTTATATAGTAACTTTGTCTTTCCAGGGTTTCTCTTGAGTACTTCACTACCCACACAGATTTGGTGAGAAGACAGCAGGAAGCAATCCGGCAGAGGAAAGCAATCAAGAAAGGATTGCAGTCTGACAAAGATTGGACAGGGGATGGCTTTGTTAAAGAGAGTGAGAGCATGGTGTCTAACTAAAATATTTATTGCAGCAAGCCCTCTTCTTCATGTTTAAAATAAAAGATAATATTCTTAGCTCTCACCCTTTATCATGCCATGAGAAATCTCGTCTGTGAGGACAACTCTTTGAGGGTGAAAATATAGCTGAATGGAGGAGTCCTATGTGGAATTATCTTCTTAGTCTTAGCTGAATGAAGTGAAGAATTTCCCAATTTCCCAAAGATATAAATAAACATGTTTTAGTTGTATCTATTAACTGATAGATTGCTAGATGTTGCTATCTTATGGTTTCACGTTGGATTATTTAAAATATTTCCAAGATCAGAGACAGTTGCTGCTGGTTGTAGTTATACAATCGACATCTCTTATCCTAGAAATACTGAATCATTGTTGAATATCTGTTTACGGTTTACAAAAAAAATTATTTATAGAAATATGCCTTCATCAAAACCAAGATAACATACCAGACCTGGTATTCATTCCATGCCATTGGCTAAAGCATGTAGACTTATACAAGCTGTGAGGCCTGGTAATCCTTTGCACATGAAATGTAACTACTTTGTGCTCTCTTTCTCTCTTCTCTCTCTAACCAAATTATCTATTGGTCAGAGAGAGAGAGAGAGAGAAGAAAACTGTTGCACCACAAGAGAGAAGACTTTGTTTCTGATAAGTTCCATTATCCATCAAAACAGTGTTAGGCTAATTAAACGTTTTTTTTTTTTCAATCAACAATTACGGCTCCACAATTGGGATCTATGTTCATAAACCACTACTGAGAAATTACTGAAGCACTGGCATTCTTTTGTACACAGCAGTTCCCGCGTTCTAAAGCACCTGACCTTAAACAAAGACAGCAAGCTACCTAACACAAATCCATCCCAAGCTGCACAGAGGTCACCTTAAGCAAGGAAATTACCATTTGGCATGACAGCATCTTCCACCGCTGGAGAAGTTCCCCTGTGGGACCCACTATGCAATCCACCGTTGATGTGCATCTCCATGAAATCCTCCTCGACGATGCATGGTTCTTCCAGGTTGCAGATAAAATGGGCTCTTGGATTCTGGGTCTGGCAATGAACCCCACCGATTTCCTCTCCTGTTAAAAGTTGATACATACTGGCATTAGGAAGAGAGGATGGGAACCACAACTTTATACGCTTAGATTCCCTTGGAAGACCCCATTAAATACTAGGACCCCACCTGGGTTGACCATCATTTGGTGCTGCCACCACGATGTGCCATCAGGGGTGCAAGGCCCAATTTTTTAAAAAGTGTCACACTTAAAACGAACCCTCAACCCGCCAATGGAACACTCCTACACTAGGGCTAGAAGTGTTGGACCCATAATTTGCCTTGTGCAGTATTTGCCCCCTACAACCACCAGCTTTTGATTCCGATACTTTTGCAGAGTAAAATTTTGGGAACTTTCTGAATTGCAATTCTTCTAGTTTCGTATTTTTTTGGTAGCACAAAATAGTTGGTCTTGGTGGCTTGGTGCAAAGTATCGACATGTATTGGTCTGTATCGACCGATAAAAATTATTTTGAGAGCTCCTTGATATGCTTTTATAGAAGATGTATCGGGGTTCTGACCAGTTCAGGGGGTGGAGGAGTCTTAAATCGACCTCTAAACCAATTTTTTTTTTTAAAAAATTACAACAAAACATTACTGATATCACCCAATACGCCTCTATCGGCGTAACCGGTGTATCAATATTTAAAACCTTGGTTGCTTGCTTGATTGTGACTTGGGTGATCAAGGTTCAAATCTTGGAAACAGCCTCTCTGTATATAGAGGTAAGACTGTATACATCCGTCCCTCCTTAAACCTGGCATTGGCAGGAGCCTCTGGGCTGCCCTAGGTTGCACATTTGTATAGATATTTTTATCTTTGAAACATTCAAATGGTTAATAGAATTACATTTGAGCTTGTATTAAATGTATAATAAAGACAGTATATAAGCAAAGCCCTTGGAAGTAGGACTACAAATGAGAGAGCAAAACCCTTGGGTTCAGTCTTAGCTCAGGTCCATGACGAGATGAACCACTGACTTGGGATTAGGTTGCCTAGTATTCACTATGAAGTCAAACTCGGCTCAGTTGGATTTGCTTAATTAAAGATATTAGGCCCACCTAAGCCCAAAATTTGTGGACTTATAAAGCCCACAGTCAAATGCAATTAAAGTTATTAAACAAGCTAAATATAAGGAAAATCAGCAAAAGGATATAAAATTTATATGTATAAGTGGTAAGGCACTTACGTTGCACGTGATATTAATAGTGGACTGACAAGATAACATATACATTATATATGGTAAAAGAAGCCCACTTTTTCTACTTTCTGGGCGCTATGCTGTGAGTGACATGATTTATGCATTTTATATGGTAATAGATTAATACCCAATAAATTAAATTAATATAACATATACAACATTATAAATTTGAATAATTAACTTAAATTAATCCCCTGCTAACATTCTTAACCACAAAAGAGTATCACCACCTTGGGGAGACACGTTGAACCATGATTTTGATCAAACGAGCTTGGATTGAGCAGAGGCTCTGTTTACTTGATCTAAGCATAGGTTAGCCAATATAGTTCGGTTTATTTAGAAGGATACATATAATTTTACATTTTTGCTTCAATCAATGGATGTTTTATTTTATTTTATTTTTGTTAGAAGATCTTTTGTCTTAACCTGTTGTTACCTCCCTTTTCTTATTGTTATGGACGGAAAACATTGGCCTAATGCATTAGCTTTTCAAAATATCTATTTTACCCTTATTAAAATGATTAAATATACCTCAAAAATATCTCCAACTTAGATGGAAATGATTAAATATATCTCAAAAATATCTCCAACTTAAAATGATTAAATATACCTCAAAATATTACCAACTTAGATGGAAATTATTAAAATGATTAAATATACCTCAAAAAATTTCACTTTTAATTAAAATATCTCCAACTTATATTGAAAAGAATAAAGTAATATTTCTCTATAAAAACGTTAGGTCTAGTGAAGTTTAGAAGGGCAAATCTAGCATTTTGAATTATATAAAAGATACCCTAATAAATAGAATGGGAGGTAATTGTAGGGGTAATTTCATAAATTTAGACTGCATTTGGATGCGATGTAAATCAAGAACCGATGTAAAATTTACATCAATTCGGTTTTGTAGGCATTTGGAAAGAGGGTGTAATTATTATATACGTAAAACTCCACTATGGTTTAGTTCTGCGTGCATTTGGATGGAGTGGAGTTTTATATCGATAATTGATGTAAAACCTCATCAACTCTAAAGTTTTACATCGATAATTGATGTAAAAACTACATCGATCTTATCGATGTAAAACTTTACACTCTTCCACCCATCGCTATTTTCAAAAAGCAACGGTCACTTTCATGGTTCAGTGTAAAACGTCATTGGTGTATTTTTACACCGGTGACGTTTTACACTAATTCCAAACGCAGCCTTAAAGTCATCATTACCGAAACGAAGATGAAAGGGAGGTAATTATAGGTTTTTGGTAAACCATAGGGGAGATATATTTTACCCTGCATATATAGGGTATTTTGGTAAAGATATACTTAAGTATTCAAAGTTTTTGTTCTAATTTTTATCATAGTTAAAATATGACAAGTAGGGGTGGATTCAAGCTAAGCTATTTGAGCTCGGCTCGCCAAGGTAGTACAAGGCTCGAGTTTGAGCTCGGTTCGAACTAGAACCTTGAGCTTGAGCTCGGCTCGAGTCAAAAGCTCATAAGCTTAAGCTCGACTCGAATTTGACTTGAGAAAATTTTTTATAATAATAAAAAATTATATATAAAAATATTTTTATTTGATATTTAAAAAATTAAGAATTATAATAATTAGTTATTATTATATATAAAAATAAAAATGTATATATAATATTTTTATTTTCTATAATTTTATATTAGTACCTATTCGAGGCCACTCACGAGCCAAACTTTATTAGGCTCAAACTCAACTTAAAGCTCAATTGAAATCGAGCAAGCCGAGTCGAATATCTCTTGAATAACTTGCCTCACTACCTTGCTTTTTTCACTTTTTAATGCGTCACATCACAGGTTAATAACCCCATGGAAACATCAAAATAGTAGTAATGTGTCTAAAATATCAAAAACAAAAGAGTAGCGTTTTGAAAATCACCCGTTGCACAGAAATCCATGCATTCCTATTGTTCCTGACGTTCTTCACATAAACAAACATCAGCAAAAATGGTTTTTACCCGTTTAGGCTCAAGTGCTGATGTAACAAGTAATTTAAATGTAAGGACCAAGAAATAAATAGATACCAAACAGCCTCTCAAGAGAAATTGCCTTTTTTTTTTTATCTTTCCTTCTAACAAATTAGAGAAAAAAATCAAACTATTTTTTCATGGCTCATGCCTCACCTGGGACTCTATTGAACCTAGAAAATAGAAATGATCCCAGTTCAGTAATTAACCAGTAGTACTGTACGAGAAGATGGAAACAACAGGGGCATCTGGAATGGGTTACTGTTGCCTACCTTCTTCTCTTTGCACGTGTTCTGATCTAAGGGGTCCAAAGGGTGTAGCTTTCTTATGGACAAAAGAGTCTTTAGGTCAGTTTTACCAGTAATTTGTCAGAAAATTATATTTACTACTAATTATATACCACTACTAACTATACTGCAGGCATAGTATAGTGACTAGTGAGAAGCTAGAGCAGTACGGTTTACAGTGGTCATAAAGATATAACAGATTAGCATTGAGAAAATCTCCTGGAGTGATGTCAGTAGTATTATGGGTGTGAGCAGAGGATCATCACAACCGTCTGATCTAGATAAAGGGGAAAGACTTAAGCAGTGGTGGGGCCATCTGAAGAGAGCTGACGTGGGGTTTCATTTAACTCACCAGAAGAGATGGGTTCAGTGTGAGTTGAGTGGGTCCCCATGAGGTCCATGAGTTGAAAATACATGCCATTGATAAAAGCTGTTGTCTCTTGCAGAGGCTCTTCCATGGCTTCTTTCAGCTCACTCAGTGCCATGCAGTATGTTGCCTGAGCATCCATTGTTCAGATATCAGATATTATGACACCACATAATTAATGCAATGTATGTAACATCTATTACGTGTATAGATGCGTGCATGGTTTGGGCCTTTGGGGAACACACAGACTACCAAGAGGCACCAAGCTGGAACCATGGCTGGACCATGTGTTACACCCATCCAGATCTATTCAATGAGAATATGAGAGCCCAATCAGCCCATAGACCCTCTGATGGTATGATTTGAATTGGAACCTACCAGCTCACAGATCATATATATATCGGTGTAAGAGAAAGAGGTGATGATACTTCAACCATCTAAGCTCTAATCTAAGCCTAAAACTTGGTTGAGGTTGTCAAAAGGAAATGATCCCACCTCTCAAATGATAAGGTTTAAGACACAGTAAGGCTTCTCTCTGAAATTCCAAAAAAAAAAAATGAAGAAATAAGGACTGAACTTACCATGAAATGATTGTGTGTGTCTATGTTTTCTGTGTGTTTTGGCCATTGGGTTGGTTATATCATTTTGAAGATCAAAAAAGGAGAAGAAGCAAGTGAAGTTACCACAAGCTCTCTCTCTCTCTTTCTCTCTCTCTCTGCTTGTCATTGGGTTGGTTCTAATATTTTGAATAAAAAGAAGAAGAAACAAGGAGTGAACTTTCCATGAACTCTCTCTCTCTCTCTCTCTCTCTCTCTCTCTCTGGGTTGTTTGTAATATTTTTGAAAGGAAGAAAAAAATAAGAAATACCACGGATCGAACCTACCATGAAATGATCCAAGTCTGAACAATAGGACATACTACTATCAGACTTGATGATATCTGGATTGAATGCATTTCTACTAGCTTCTCCAATATCTCCCAAGCTCACCTGAAATAAACACATTAAGCACATTTATCTATATGTGAAGGGAGAAAAACAAAAATAGATATGAAGCAGAGATAAAAACAAGATAAACCCATTTCCATTTTTAGTTGAAAGACAGAGAGGGGGTGGATTGTTTCATTAAAGCAATAGAAAAAAAGGATTGAGAAGAAGAAAATTAATATTAAATGCATGTGGAGTAATCATCATCAATCACACTTGCATGTATGCTGTCTACATGGTTTCTGGGTAAGAAAGCATGAACCATAAAGCCCCAGACTGACCCACGTTAACATCAGAAGAAAGAGCAGGTCAGACACTTCTGGGTCATGCCTTCCCCATCTAAAGTTAATGAAGGATCCAAGCAACAAACTGCTCCTCAACATCAATCTTGTCTCTTGAATGGGAACAAGGGTTTTCTATACAGACTTCTAGTCTGAATGGATCCATCATCCATAAAAGCCTTTCATTAGAATTTATTTCTGAAAACAGTAACAAATGTGTATGTGTGTGTTTCTGTGAGAGAGAGAGGAAAAGTTACCTTCAAACAGTCCAAATGAGTCTCAATCAAAAGCCCATATAAAGGATGGCAAGAGATTCTCCTCTTGAGAACTTCCTCATCTTCTCCATCTTCTTCTGCTAAAAAACTAACATTAACATTCTTATTACTGTTAGCCTCCATGTCTCCCTCTCCCCACACACAGACACAGAGACTACACTATACCATTTCCAGTAGTCTTGTCTTGGGCTTTTATTACCATTTGTGTGTATGTCTCCTCCGCCCAGTGTGTACTGTCGGCCTGTGTAAAATAAGTGAGCCTGCACAGTGAGGTACCGTACGGTGGCAGCAGAGCTTCCATCTTTGGAAGAATCCGTTGACCAATGCATGATGAAACGGTAGCAATCAGAGGACTCGAGAAGAGGGAGAGGCCTTTTTGCTTCACTCTCTTTTGTTTCTTTTTACATCCCGAAAGGAACTCTTCATGGGGTATCTCGAATAAAGGAGCTCTTACAGTACATTACTTCAATTATGTCGTTTTACCACCCATCCAACTTCCGTCTTTTACTAAAGAAACAAAGCTGCTACTGTGCTACTGTTCAAAGAAAAAAATTTCTCTTCATTTCTTTCTCTTTTCATCTTTTCCTTCTAAAGTGGATTTTCTCCTAATTATCTTCTTCACATTCTATTGTATGGTTGTTTGGGTTTTGGTTTGGACCACAGTTTTGCAAACACCTGCAAAACACATAGGTTCTGAGAGTGATTGATCATGGGCAATTAGATCAGATCAATAACAGCCACTGAGAGAATGGAATCATTAAAGAGATTTATTGAGACTGCATTAAAATCAAGGTCATAACAACTGCCAGGGTTTAGTTCATGATGGGTCAAACTCAATAAAAGTGAAGACTCTTTGGCAGAAAAGAAGAATTTGAATGGTAGAAGGGTACTCCAGAAAACATGGTACCTTGATAGTGAGGATTAAGAGTTCTGGTAATAGACTGGACCTTTGGGTAAAATATAAAAGAAATGCTGCATGGATTCATCTTCTTGCATGCATGGATACCCTAATCTTCTACCAAATTTCATTTAATCCCCAATCAAATCCCTTATCAAATTATAGAATGATATGATTGAGTTTAATTAGGAGCATGACTTCAAGCAAATTTGGACCTTTATAATAATCAATGGATTTCCCAAATGGCAAACCCTTCATCAGAGTTCAGACCCTTGATTGCATTTAAAATTTCCTTTCATTTGGTCCTTCCTACAATAGCTTGGTGCTATAATAAAGTCTATGGCTGACAAGCATGAGAACAAAGTTTCGAGTTTGAGAGTGGTCACATCGTACCAAAGTGAATCCAGTCTACACCTCCCAAGACTCCTGATAGCGGGACCAACAGTGAATGATGACCCCTTATATTTTATTAGACCTTTCAGTGGAGAAGACTTTATTTGAACTATCTAAAATCCTGATAACATGGGAGTACTCCGGGATCACTAATCAAACCTCACCAATGGGTTTCCCACCTGTCATTTTTTTTTTTACTTTTAATTTTTACATACATATATGTAGATTCTGAAATTGGAGACTTCATATAAAATTTCAATTTCAACATCTGAAGTTCATTAAAATCTATGGTGCAAATTTCCAATCTAACCTTTCCAATTAGGCTTTAGTGTATCAAAATGAAAACTAGAGGTTTGAATCTAAAATTCCTTTTATTTAACCATTCATCAATAAAAGTTCCATTTGGATGGCTCTACATGCATTAATTTACAATATTTGGCCATCATTTTGTGAATTGGGTACTGAAAACTGATTGACATTCAACAGTTTGAATACCCACCTAAGCTAATAGTTTATCTCCATATTCTTTGATTTTTGTGCCATATTTCAAGAAAGATTTCATTTAGAAGGATTAAAATGTGGTTACTTATAAACATATCAATGACAGAAAATGTTCCTTTCTCACTTGATTTTGTCCAAGGGGAAGTTAATTTAATGTACTTCAAAGAAGATTCAACAATGCATAGAAATCAATACACACACACACACACTAAATTTGTAATTTGATATCCATATTATCTGATAAGATGGATTCTATTTAGAGGGACTACTAATACAATGCAAATGCTACCAAAATTTTAGAGTAGCTGGACCATTTCAATGCATTAACTTGATGCACCTCAATAATTATTCAAATATTCATAGAGTTCCTACTATTCTAGCTTTATATCTAAGACACTTAGAAGGTTTCTTAATCTAATTTCTTAAAATTTGTTGATTAAAACTAGAGTCGCTTTGCCAAGAAAATGAAGCTATGTGGGTAACAAAACTTAAAACCTAAAAGTGATGGGAGATAAAGAAACGTCATAGATATCATAATTAAGTATGCCACAGCATTTAGAAATCAATTATGATACTATTAAATGTGATGGTAACAGAATTTAATGTACCATTTAATTAGTAAGAGGCAAATATGTAATTCAAAATATATGAAGATTCCTACATTTATTAATGGTATATAATATCTGTACTCAATCCCAGTCCACTCTGAATACAATGAATAAGATTAATTTGATCTGAATTCAAATAGTAATGCACCAGTTTTGGATCTATAGGTATACCAAACTCATATATGATCCATTTGCAGCCCGATTTTTTTTGGGGGAAAAACTACGCTCTCTTAAGTAAATTTGAATCGCTTAGATGTATAGTTCAGCTAAAAAGTTTTCTTAGCTGAACTATCCATATAGTTCAAAGGTAATTCGAAGCAATTTTTTTAGAAGCCTTGCCCAATAACTGCATTAGTGTTTTTTTTTTTTTTTTTGTCTCAACATGCAAAAGGCAAATATAGTTCAAAGCATTTTTGGCAAAGGTAATTCGAAGCAATTTTTATGTCTTAGGTGCTAGGGAGCAACTGAAAACAACGGTTCATAAGACTAGTTTAGGCTCTGATCCTTTTGTTGGGCATATTCTTTCGATTATAGTTTAAATCTATAAACCACTCTGTGGTAGATTATTTTCTTCCCCTTTCATCTCGGTTTGGAAATTGTTTATTCTTATTCTTCTTTGGGCTGTGTGGCATGGCTAGGCCAATAAAGAGGAGGTGGAGATAAATAGAAAACATTTTTACTTGCAGATGGAATTATGTTATCTCTAGGATGAGGCCTGCAGGGGTTTCTAATTTATAGGCCTAGTTTGGGCGTTGCCCATACAATTGGAGCCAAGATTACAATTATGAAGAGAGAGAGAGAGAGAGTTGGTAGGCTTATGTTGTGTTTGGTTTGAATGAAAAGGAAGGGAAAGGTTTATTTTGGAATATTCGAGGGATAGATAATGATTTGTTAGTTAGGAGATTTAAAAAGCTTATTAAAATGAATAAAGTAGGTTTGGTAGCTATTGTAGAGACTAAGATTTATGATAGTAGATACTTGTTAATTGCTAGATGTTTAAAATATGGTGGATTTTATGTCTAACACAAACAAGAAAATCGGGCAACGAATCGATTAGGGGTCCAGTTCCTGGGTCGAATAGTTTGATTGTTTAAACCGAATGGATGGCCCGTTTTGACAAAAATAAGAACGGTCAAAAGTACCATTGGACGGTTCAAACTGTTCAACTGTCCGGGTCAACGGTTTGCTAACCAAATCAATGGTTTTTAGCGAAATAACGGTTCTAGGGTAAAACAAAACCAATCACCTGATTGATTCCCAGTTTTCAGGTCCAACCGTCCGGTCCGGTTTTGAAAACCATGCAAGAAGATAATGCTCTTGTGGATTTTTTTTTGATTCATATGCTCTTGTGGAATTTCTCTTTTTCTATTGTGCTAGTGAAAGACAATGAACAGAGCCAACAGTTGGAATTAGTATTGATAATGATGTTGCTTTTTTAAACTATCGGTGGTTTTTGCATGTAAGATGTGAGAGAACCGAAAGAAAAAGGTTTATGGAATAAAGATTTGGTTAGACAGGAAGATGCATCGAATGAGCCTTGGATTGTATGAGTTCACATCTTCACTCCACCAGGAGCCGCTCCACAATGCCCCACAGCACATCCCTGCCGTGTATTGAAAACATCTCCCAATGATAGTACCAGTTTTGATGATGTCATCATTAGGAAATGTTTTCAATACACGGTAAGAATATACTGTGGGGCAACTCCTGGTGGTGTAACGCCCCACAGCACATTCATAATACATGGCGGGGATGTGCTATGGGGCGTTGTGGGGTGACTCCTGGTGGGGCGGAGATGTGATCTCAGAATGTATGTATGGATTTCAATGTTATAATGGGGAGTCACGAGAAGAAGGGAAAAGAGACCCGGACAAGTGTTCAATGGCGGAGTTTGTTGATTTGATTATATATATATATATGTGTTAGTGTGTGTGTGGTGTAGTAATAGAAAAGGAATGGAATGCATTTGGACAAGATTGGATAAGGTGCTGATAAACACATACACTAGCTGGATGTGGATGTAGGAGTTCCCGGTGCAACCGACCAAATATCTACACAGAACTTGCTCTGAGTCCTCTGACCATAGGTCTTTGGTTTTCTCTCTTGAGGGGGAGATTTCACTGGATCCGAGGCCATTTAATTTTCAGCTTCAGGATGCTGTGAACCGATTCTGGATTGAACCAGTTTATGCCAATCCTTTCATGAAACTCTTTTGAAGTTACTTCGGCTTTGAGGGGATTTGAGAACGTGGAATGTGGAAGTGTTTGGAGTGTAAGAGATGCCAAGGATACAATTCAGTATGCCGAATGGGATCACCTTCAAGATAACTCAGCGGCTGAAAGAAACAAAAAAAAAAAAAAAAACAATTACATAAGGTACAAGTGGCTGAAGGAGGAAGATAGTAACACTAATTTCTTCCTTCCACTTGTCAGCTAAAGTGAAGCGTGCTAGAATCCAAGTCCACATGGTCCAGGATGATGGTGGTGTTTGGATAATCGATATGGCTAAAATCAAGCAGAGAGCAATTTGCTATTTTGAGGATGTTTTAATCGAACAAGGGGTGGAAATTGATGAAGGTCTAATGGAAGTCATCTAAAACCTGGCCAATCAGGAAGACAATCTTTCTTCAATGGAGGAAGAGAAAAAGGCAGTGTGGGCTTTAGACAGAGACAATGCTCCAAGGCCAGATGGGTTCACAGGATTGTTTTTAGTTTCTTGATGGGAGATAATTTGTGATGATGTGGTGAATGGAGTGAAATTCTTC